TAGTAGGGTTATTACTAATTTTCGGAAAAACTTGTTAAGATTTCAACACCGACTGACTTCTTTTTCCTTGCCCAGTATTTACAACTTACATTCCTTATTGGCCAAATATATATGTTTTAATTTTAAAAGTCATACTATACAGTCATGGATATTATTGAAATTCCTCATTGCAAACTGAATATTGTCGATCCGTCGGTTCTTACCAATTACATGTAATGATGCAAAACATTTGATACAATATTCTATTTGTAAAATGACTAACATACTCCTAAAAATCTCGCGTTTATATCTAATGTTTTCTGGAAACATGTGTTACAAATAACCTTATGAGAGCTTATTACTACTGTCGTATTCATGTGGACACGCAGTCCACATTGTATACATCGCTTATCTTAAGGTAAACCATTTTTAGCCAGTTCAGCTAAATTATGAAGCGTAAAACATCACAAAATAGTTAATCTGTTTAACATTATCATTGATATCCGTTTTTATCATGTCATCTAGTTTAGAATAACTTATCTGCCCTGTCCGTGAAAATTTGTATTTAAACGTGTCACTGTTTTCATGAATAGACCTCAACTTTTGTTCTGGCTTTTCTCTCTACAGTCAAGATTAGAAGTTAAGATAAATAGTGGCTGACGTAGTATCACACTTCTCAACAAGTGTATTGATCATATCACTAATATATCTCTATTTCAAAGCTAATTGTTTAATTCTTCTATGACAAATAAGTATTCAATAAATACTAATCATAATTAAATTTATTTTCACATTACATTATTTCATATTGAGAACAAAGTTATAGCGTGTCTCGTCTTACCAACTGCGAATATTGAAGTTTTTCATTTATTAGAACCTGATAAATACAAATAAAATTTTCCACATTCTTACGATGAATTCGTCCAATTATCCAAAGCACTAGGTTAATATATTCAGTCATATCAGCGTAGTAATCATCGAGGTATAATACTTTTATTTATTGTGATATTAGTCTTAGTTACACGCTAGTTCTGGAGCATCATCTCTGTCTTTAAAAAAAACTACTAAACCGATTCGTAGTTCCACTCAGAACAGTTAAAAGACACTTGCGTCAACGTCATTGTTCGGTGGATACTCATTGAGTATATACTATATTCTTTTCACAATTCTTTACGAGGTAAATAATCTATTTACTAATAAACTTTAAATTCATTTTAATGTTTGATTACTTAGAATAAGTAGTAAAAATGATTCCATCGATTGTTGCTGTCTTGAGCTAATCATTGAAAATTTCAAATAAATTGGTCTTCCACCAACATTACTCTTCAATTTCTAGATGTTTCTGAAAAACTTTTATTCAGTGGTGATTGGACAAAATGTTTCCTAGCGTTTTCAGGGCCTCTGCGGTTTTTTTTAGGAATATTCTACATCTCTCCAACACTATTGATCCTTAGCTGAATGAAGCTCATTGATAATAAATAAATAAACTCATTATTCAAACTCACCTGATTACTCTAGATTATGGTGACAATATTACTTCGTTACTTGGTCGAATGAAATTTGGACTTACATCTAGATTGTTGCAAATCAATTATTTTGATTATTAATTTGGAATCTCAGTGGTGATAATCAAAAGTTTTCTCAATTGTTTCAAGATCACTAGTTTCATCAGCTAATTGTTTGTCAACAGTTTTACTCTGCTTTTCAAAATTTGTCATTTGCCTGTAATGTTTAGAACTTATCGATAATCATTTACGCATAGTTTCTTTTGTGTTTCCAATTTGATATTTACATGACTCATGTTTATTGTGAACTAACCGCTGCACAATTATTAATACATCTGATATATTCCCTAATAATTTCATCTTTTAAATTGTAATAATTGAATTATAATGTACGTATAGTGTTTCTCCTCAGTCAGAAATCTGACTTTTTAACAATCCTAACTAGTCATTGCTATACTGAGTCCAAGTTAAAAATTTGTTGATCCATAGAAATTACATTATGCTTACGTAGTACATTGTCAAGTAATCTAATGTACTATAAACACAACTAACAGTAATTATTTATGATATTACTATATTCCAGTTAAAAATAATTATCAATTACGGTAAAAAAGTAATTCAATATATATTCTCTTTATTACAGTGATCTGATCCAGGTGAATGTAACACTGTGTTGATAAATATGACTCAGAAAATCACATTTATTAGCCGGATAATACCAAAGATACTAATTAGAATAATGGATATGTTAGTGAAAAATATTTGTTGTGTCAATAACTTAAAGACTTATGTACAATCACCTTTTAGTTTCCGTATGTTTTTGTATAAAGGTAAACCAATAAGTTTTTTAATTCTGTAATCATACAACTGGATCATTGAGTTTCAACTACTTTGTCTGTATAGTCTCTAAACAATAGGCACTGAAAGTACCGATTTTCTGTAATTATTTCTTGTTAAAATTTACCAACCAGCATTTTTTGCTCACAGTCACACGTAACAAATAAATGTGACTAAATTATAATCAGTTATTTGATTCAGTGTATGACTGTAAAGTTTCATTTATTTAACGTACAATCTGTTTCTCACTATGTTTACATAAGGCTATCGGTTGTTTCGGAAGTTAACAGCTGTACATCAAATATATACTTAAGGCTTATTTTAGTATCCTTTTTTTTCTAATAATAAGTTAGAGATTAGATTGACCGTCCCTAATTTGTATTTGTTTTTCAGATGATACTGAACTTTGATTAAATGTCTTAATTTAAGACACTGTTTTTTTTTTAAAAAAACGCACTAAACTGCTTTGATTGCTCTTCAAACTATTTGTTTGGAAAGCTTTTCAAAGTGTATTATTAACACTTTGTTTTCATCAGTAGTAGTTACACAGAATTATATCACATGATATGTACTCATAAACCATGTGTTTCTGTTAAATCGATAATCAATTATTTTACAGCATATTTAAACACTTTACAAATGGGTATGTACTTATTACGTAAACTGGAAATCCCGGATAGAGTAGATATTATACATGTAGAAGGACAGCTGACAGACTCGTTCAAAGTAAAGACCAGTGTCAGGAAAGGTTGCTTACTCTCACTCTTTCTCCTGGTGATCGACTGGATCATGAAAACGTCAACATCTAGGGGGAGCATGGGATACGGTGGACAACTAGGATTCATTTGGACGATCTAGACTTCACAGATGATCTGGCCCTCCTATCGCTAACGCAACAACAAATGCAGGAGAAGACGACCAATGTAGCAGCAGCCTCAGCTGCAGTAGGTCTCAACATACACAAAGGGAAAAGCAAGATTCTCTGATACAACACAGCATGCATCAATAGAATCACACTTGGCGGAAAACCTTTGGAAGATGTGAAAAGCTTTACATATCTGCGCAGGATCATTGATGAACAGGGTGGATCTGATGCATATGCGAATGTGAGGATCGGCAAAGCAAGAGCAGTATATTTACAACTGAAGAAAATCTGGAACTCAAAACAACTGTCAACCAACACCAAGGTCAGAATTTTCAATACAAATGTCAAGACAGTTCTACTGTATGGGGCAGAAACCTGGAGAACTACGAAAGCCATCATTCAGAAAATACAGGTGTTTATTAACAGTTGTCTACGCAAAATACTTCAGATCCGTTGACCGGACACTATCAGCAACAACGTACTGTGGGAGAGAACAAACCAGATCCCATCGGAGGAAGAAATCAGAAAGAAGTGCTGGAAGTAGGTGGGACACACATTGAAGAAAGCACCTAACTACATCACAAGACAAGCCCTCACATGGAGTCCTCAAGGCCATAGGAAAAGAGGATGACCAAATAACACATTACGCCGAGAAATGGAGATAGACATGAGAAGAATGAACAACAATTGGATGGAACTAGAAAAGAAGCTCCAGAATAGAGTGTGTTGGAGAATGCTTGTCGGCGGCCTATGCTCCATTGGGAGTAATAGGCATAATTAAGTAAGTAAGTACGAAGGGCTTTCTGGATAATAGACCATGAAACGACACCAGTTAATAAATCATTAATTATCGTCCTGTATTGTGACTAACGTACCCAGTGGTTGGAGACTCTTAGTGACATGGCTCAGAATCGATCTCAGTGGCGTCGGTATATACCCTCTCTGTCTTCCCTTAAACTAAGAGATCAAAATCACTTCATATCTTTCTTTCTACCAACTCATTCTTTCTTCATGTACTATATCCTTATTGCAATCTTTCTTTTATATATTACCACCTCTGAATTAACTACTTTTATTAATCCGGTGTTCATCTTGTTGTGTTAATGAGGTATGGCAACTTTGACCGATGCATATATGTGCCTGGTCCTACGTTGTAGCTGACTGACGTCCTGTATTGTATAAGAAATTGATGTGTCTGATCAGATTGACTGTAAAAGAAATCGACATTAATTGTCGAAGGCTTAATATTGGTTGCACTAGTACAAATAAATTAGATTCTAAATATTGAACATATTGAGTTCTTTTTATTCCTTGTCAAAACTTGTTTTTGTTGTTAATCTTTCTGCTTCCATGCCTTCTTTACCTTTGATTTCTTTGTATGTATATTGTTTATTTCCTATTCATTTTATCAATATTAAACATGACAATTTAAATCAATAAAAACATGTACCGAGTCCTTTGTGGTAAATATGTATCTGATATTTAGAATAAAATATAGCAATCCATACAAGCTCGCTGGTGCAAGTTACCATTTCTCTAAACGTTATACTAACTGGGAATTATTAAAGCACATTTGTCTTACCGAGTATACTGAATAATATGATTTTTTAGCTGTTAGATTAACTGAATAGAAATTATTTTCAAGTTTTATCAAAATTGAGTTTCACAAAAAGGCTTTTCACTGTCTCAGCAAACGATATTAATTCAATACAACTCGTTGGTACATATAGTCTGTCACTAACTTTGTAGTATATAGGACAAATCAACATATTAAAAGATATGCGTATGTTCATTGTTTGTTTTCTCTTATTTAGATGAACACATTGTCATGGTTTCCAGATTGGGATGGTTTACCTATGCTAGTAGATCGCCTAACAATACATGCTCACTCACAATTATGTCAAGAGCGTTATAATCGTAAAACACAAAAGCAATCTATGCTTGCATTAGAAGCCAAATTAAAATATGCACAACTGGAAGTTGAACGGTTGAATACAGAGGCGAGAAGACTGAAACAACTTCTCGAGTTGACTAAAACCCAAACATGTAAACAAGACACAAATATACTTGCCTCATCAGATGATCATTTATCATCGCTTTCATCGTCATTGTCATCGTATGAACAGAAGTTTACACGAAATAGTCATATTAATAGTCAGTGTAAATCTAAAGAGTCCAGTTTGTTGAGTAGTGAACTGTTTGTTTCCATTTCTAAAGATAAAAATGTGAGTTCATTATTTTAACTGATTTTATGAACTACATGTATGTATTACATTTTTTTCTCTCGTTTCAACATCATGTAACCATGTATCTAAATCAGAAGCACATCTTTATTATGGAGTTTTATCTCAGGAATTTTTGATTTACCGTTGATTAAAATATAAATTTTAGTATTACTACACGAAATCCTTTGAATATTAAAAATTATAAATGTCCATAATGTCTGGTATGCAAATGCAAAACGGAGCATGTTAAACGTTGATTTGAGCTGTTACCATACAGTGAATTTATAAACTTGGATCATTTTTTTGGTACACTTTAAGACATTTTTCCACATGACTTTATTACAATTATAGTTCCCCCGGGTTCAGTAAATAAAATTTTTCATTCTTATTCACTAGTTCTCCCTGTATATTTAAGATTGACTATTTTAGTCATAATTAGTCAATAGTTTTACTGAATACTGTAATTCTTTACTACATGTGGTGACTACACACCATGTTGCCCATAGTGAAAAGCGTTTTAGACAAAGTTTCAGTTTACTAGAGCACAATCGTAACGAATATAATTAGTTACTTGGCAAAATAACTAGTATGATAAAATATTGAAATAACTGTGAAGGGAGAGAATTGATAGTTTTCAACGAAACTATTCGCCTAATTCCAAAATAATACATTTCAGAAAATTGGTTGAAATTAACTGATCTAATTCGCTTACATAATATGAACTGCTAATTGTGTACAAAATATTCAGCCAAGATATTATGAATGTTTGTTACTTTTGAAATAAGAAATAACAAAACAATCATCAAAACAGTCTGAAAACAACCAATGAGGTTATCCCTATACTCTTCATATCAGTTGCGATTATTGGTTTAACCGTTTGCATTTTTACAAATGTTGTTATTCCGTATCAACGAATAAATGTCCACTTGTAAATCAATGGACGTAGAGTTGGATCGCAGATACTAGTGATTGAATTCGTCTGATTACCTGCTGCACTAATAATGTTTTTCAATGTATTAATCTTGTTATTTTATCTGGTGGTTTTTTATTCATGCTTGGTGCTAACCTATTGATTAAATGTTTATTAGATTTCAGAAGAACACAATCCATCTAACGTTAAGTCTGAGTTAACTGATCCAATTGAATCAGCACCATGTAAGACAACTTCATTTGAATTAATAGATACGGAAGATGGTCAGTCTGTTTTACTGCAGCCCGATTGTATTGCCCATCAATGTACATCATGTCGTATCGAATTTTCGGCTTTACGACCTAAACACCATTGTCGGTAAGTTTTGTATTCTCGTTAATTAACTCCTGTGCAAAATTAATTGCTTAACATTTTTATTATGGTGTTACCTTGTAAAACATTAAAGCGTAGTATAAATAGACAAATAAGATAATGGGCGTTGATTATTATTTTACGTATCACACTGGTTGTTTTTTATGCAGGGTAAACTGGTAAGAGAATTATATTCTGTTGATAACTTCCACTTCCTTACTATGTAACAAGTTTTAGGTTTTGACATACTCAGTTTACTTAAAACTGTGTCAATATCATGGACATGGTTTAAAGCGAAGCATGTTGAAGAGAATATCTTCTGGTTCCGATTCTCTAAAGTGAGAGACTTGTGTAGCCACACACAATGAAACAGTTGTTACTTATACTATGCTATTCAATGATTACACAGAAAAATGAAAAAAAAGTCATGTTTGTGTGTTCAACAGAACTTAATTATTCACCAATAGAACTATAAATATATTTATTTCGCTGAATAATTGGGAGACAAGCAAATTTAAGTGTACGTTTTGTTTTCTTTCCATAAGTCTACATTCAAACGGTTTTACACTTTGCATCGTGTTCAAAAATTATTAGAATGTGTGTTTCCGTTTTAAGAAAAAAGGGTTCCATTCATATTTTAAGACATGTGGATTAATTTTGAAACAACTGAAGACAGCAGTCTTCAAAGATAATTTATGGATCAATAGAAACCTTAAATTGTCTTCAGTTTTATGAAGATACAGAAACAAAAAGATTTTATAAGATAGGAATGTTAGTTGGTCTGTTGTAGGATAGATTAATTTGTCGTGATCTGGTTATCTGTTTAACTGTAGTGTATATTTTAAACTACCTACATTTGCTGTTCTATTTCCTTATTTGCTAGAAATTGTGGTTATATATTCTGTGCAAATTGTTCTGATCGTCGTATTGTTACAACAAGTCAACCAAGTGAACCGGTTCGTGTATGCCGTCATTGTTTCTTTCAACTATCTCGTCCTACAGTGAAATCGTCTAAACAACAATTGGTTGAAGAATACACTCCATGTGTTGCGCGACGTACAATAATGAAGGAGGATTATAATGGCGGTGGACTGGTAAAACACTTCACTAATCCAGATTTTCTTAGTTATATGAACAATTCAATTATGCTTTCCACTGGTTCTGATAGTGGTTGTATGCCTGTTTCATCTTTCTCTAATGGTGCTATATTAAGAATGTCGTCAAGCGGTGTCTCCCATCACTTCAATGATTCTTTTAATTCAGAGACCAATACCAATAATGCTACAACAACAACAGCTGTTAATCATCGTTTAGATTCGATCCTTACAAATAATCCGCCTCTGTCTAGATGTCATAGTGCTGGTGGTGCTAGGCCAACCTCCTCTGCTGCGTCAGATGGCATTGCTCAGGCTTAATTAAAGATGAAAAGTATACAACACTTATAAAGCACTTCACTTCGCATCATTAGATAACGTGTGTTGTGTATCACACTATATATACACACTGGCAGAAAAACAATTCATATCCATACTTGTTTGCTGTCAATTTATTCTCCTTCCAAATTTGTCTTTCAATTTTGTTTATGACACTAGTCTTTGATTTGACTTGGAAAAACGGACTATTTTCCCCTATTCATTTACTCCTTTCTCCATCCACACAGTATGTATATTTGTGTACGTATTGTTTTCTTCCATCCATGGGAGAATTTTCTGCTTTTCTCCCGTTCCTTTATATATGTAGCATTAAGAGAAAGTTTTGGAGAAATTGAAATATACTGATTTATGTTTGCATAAAGATGTCTGGAGTTGTTATTGCTCAGTTGTTTATTCATCAATAATCTGTTTCGTCTCTTCATTCTCTGAAAAGATATCTTAATGTGCTTGTTTCTAAATCTTATCAGATTTGTATAATTTAGTTTGTTACTAGTACAGCTGTTGATGTTGTAATTGATAATACTTCTCTGCTCTTAAATTACCAATGATTACGAACTGAAGTTTTGTGCATATTTATATAGCGAAATATATACAGAAGCATAGATTTATATCTGTGTAGTCTCTTATGTGTTCCACACGACTTCATTTGCTTTTATTCTTTTCCGTATCTTTCTTTGAATTCCCCTACTTGTCATTCATATATTCACACACATAGATAGAAATAGTTTTACATTTTTCGTATCATTAATAAAATAAAGTGGTTAATAAAATCAGACTCAGTTATTTTTGTGTCTATTTCAATCCACCAACTGACTTGATTCAGAAGTTACTTGACTTAGTGAGCTAATTAATCTCTCTTTCATATTCGTCACTCCTTTATCAATGTATATGTTTTGTTTTTCCCTCTCTCAATTACTCAAATAACGCTTATTTTGTGACAGTCAAGATTTTTGTGTTTACTACTATGATTATTATTGTTATTTTAATCAATATTGCAAATAAATATATCAAACAATTGTGATGGTGTAATGACGTACAATCTTTTTAATTTCTAGTGGGTAATGTTAAATGATCTATATTGGCGACTGCTTGTTTGTTTGTATGTGCGTGTTTTTACCTTCTTTTGTATTATCTATTGTTAAATCTATTTCGGTTGTAAAAAAGCGGCTTAATTTAGTTATTCGAATCCATTTATACTTTATTTAATGCTATGTAGCAGCTTTTAGATGTGTTTGTGTTGGTAGTATTCTAGTGTGGAGACTGTTTCATTTTATGTATAGGGTACTATTTCTGTTTTGTAGAAGCTAGAAACTAATCGCTACCACATTCATATGTCCTATACTTGTCTCTTTAATATTTTTATTATAATTCCAATGTCAACAGTTAGATTTTTATAGCCTAATTTATGGATGTGAGGTAATTTAATTACAAACACTAATGAACCTAAATATCTATTTGAGTATAAGCTCGGGTAGTCGATTATGGTAATCACTTGCTGATTTCAGTTCAGTGGTAAGTTAGCTGTTTGATCATTAAGTAGATTTAACTGACACGGTTGAACTAAACTTGTAAACATTCATGTTCATTCACATATGTAATCTGTTTCATGTCATAGGTTATTTCCTTCTGCATTAATAATGTTGAAATCCTGAGCGAGTCTGTTTTACTACTTTGAGTAACTAAGGTTTTAAGCAGTAACAATAGCTACATTTATAAATTCCAGGCACTTTAGACTGCTACCGTAATTAAAGATTTAAATAATCTGACACAAAGACATTAATCTAGAACCGCTTATCTAATCCCAAGGATACACATTTCACTTTTGAATATCTTTTGAAGAATAAATCAAATTATTTGTAATAAAATTGGTACATTTTCCAAAAATGTCTGGGTAATGATAAACAACAGAATGTTGATAATTATGGAAATTAAGTGTACGTATTTTTATGATCGATTTTGAAGTCAGTCAGTTGTCTTCGACAGCTTCCCTCAAGTGATCTAGGAAACTCCAAGCGAGGAGTTTACATTTGCTTATACTACTTACACCTGTAACCATAATCTTCGTATCTAGATTTATTTACTTTTAACTATATTCCAACATAATCATCACTAAACAACGTGCTCCGATGCAATATATGACTTGGCATGTGAAGTACAATTTGTACGACTGTACAACTAAAATAGAATTGTACTACTAAATTCATGCGGAAAAAATATAAAATCAATGAAAATGACTATAAGCGCAGAGATGATGCTTGTAATCTATCTTAAATTCCATGTATTCAGAAAATCAGGATATTCTGTCCTAAAACCTCCCAAATTTTGTTTATGCTTGATTGATATAAAGATGCAGTCACATAATTATCACTGTGTAGGTTTTTAAAACTAATGGGACGAGAAACCAATAATACACACAAATAAACGGTTAGCCAATATTTTCCACATTTTCAGAAACCGTTAAAACTTAGTACTAGTAGTGTAAAGATATATTCGAATTAGGTCAAGAATACATCGAAAAAGTTATCCAGACTGTCTACGAAGCATTGCTTGTATATCCTTGGACCACCGATTAAGTAATGCAGTTGTTAGGAAACGTACTAGGTAAGGATGGCGAATCAATTGATGAAGTAGTAAGACTTCATCAGTTGAGATGGCTGGGACACGTGTTACGTATGCCCAACCACCGACTGCCCCGACGTTCTTTGTTTTTTGGTGTAGAAGTAGGTTGGAAGAAAGCTAGGGGCGGCCAGACCAAAACATAGCACAAGTCCATAAAGTCACTGAGCCATGTTGGTGGGTGTAGACTACCTGGTTGGGTTCCGCGAGACAGTAGCAACCGATGGTTAGAGACCTTGAATGAAATGGCTCAAAATCGTTTGCATTGGCGCAGGTGCATCCACTCTTTGTGTTCTCTCAAATTCTAATCTTCTGAATTCTTCATATCTTTTTTTCGCTTTCCAAATGTATTTTAGTGAACTATACTCCTTGAATAACATCTTCAAACTCAGGTGTTTTTGATTACTGCTTATACTTTTACTATTTCTACCTCTACGGGATTTGAATCGACAATTGTATCTGTGTGCTAATGTGGTATAGTAACTCGAATTGGTGTATGTACGTACGTACGAAGTTCTGCGTTGTTAGTGACTGATCGACAAGGGGCATTCAGTAAGGTAAGAGGATACTGTTTAGTGAGCTACTCAGAAGGAAAATGACGAGATTATGAGGAGTCGTAATGAGGGATTAAGTCTTGTTTATTCAGGGTTATTAGAGAATAAGAGACTGATAACTGGAGATCCAATTCATGAGGCAATTGTTGAAAGCTTGGTATATTATTGAAATAAAACGTCAATAGTCGACGATCAGTTCATAGGAGTCTTCAAGAGATCTCCATATGAACTTGATTAGTTTTATTGGACGATGACTTTAATTTGTCGTTGGTTGAATACAAAGTAGACACCAACCTTGATTGTTTTACTTACTGTTACATGTAATAATATATTTCCACATGCAAGTTTCATAAAAAGTAGCTATAAGTAAGCCTTTAAATGAAGTACGAATAAACTTTTAATGAATAAGAAATGTTTCTGTCCATAAGAATCATCTAGTGTGTGGAAGCATAGCTTAATGTATATTTATTACATTGGCCAAGCGACAGTTTTATAGCATACATTTTTTGCTACTCTATGAATTCGGATTAGATAATTTTAGTCGTGTAAATGCAACAGACAAAATGATTATTTTGTTGTTGATTTTAAAGTTTAGATTTAACCATTATTATTATTAGGCTTTGGTTCAGCAGGTTATACATTCGGACCCTGTTCCATCTACTTCAGTTTGGGTAGTCCGTTAATATAATTAGTTCTCACATATTAATATGTTTTACTCAGAACTTGGTGATTTATATTTAAAGTAAAACCAAATACAGCCCTTGGGTTGTGACTGAAGCAATATTGAAAAACTTGGTAAACATAATAGCTATCTTTGTTTTAGTTTACTACTCAGAATATACCGCTAACTGTGATGAACGACAACACAAGTGGCGACAATCGAATGTATTTAAACACAGAATTTCGTAATAAAATCTGAGTACCATACAGTAAATACTTCAGTTGGGAAAAATCAGTCAATCGTCTTAGACATTGTTGTCCCTTCGTTTCCACACCAATCATTCTCTTTTCTTTGAACTTATTAACCTTCCGCCACCAGACATACGTACTACTTGTATCTGTCGACATCAGTAGCAAACACCACATAACTTCATGTTAGGTGAAAATATATTTGTTCATGTTTTACGGCTAGCCTAATACTATCCAATCACTAAGTCAAGATCCATTAGTTTACATTATTCAAACTCGTCTAATGCTTCACATATAGTGATTTGTGTTGGTTTTTTATCAGTAGGCGGTTGTATATCACTCAGTTTAGTAGACTCCAAGCATTGAAACTTACTACTACAGTATATGAACGTTCATCTTCGAAGAAAATCATTTATTATTATCAAAGTACGGTGTATTTAAGTTAACTAATTCACTCTACTTGTATATGCCATCAGATATAGCACTTGTAACTGCAACTTCATTGTAATATGACATGACGTTGGAACAAGGTATGCATGAAAATTGGTCTTATCTTTGTTTCCTAGTTTTACAGTCGATTACAATTCATGATGAAAATTACCTTACAAGCTAACCATCTAATTAGATATGCTTATAATACGTCAGTCAAAACATTCTAAAATCGTTGTCTTTTAGTTTAATTCACTGGATGTAGATTATTAAGATAATTAAAATGATTTGTTTCGCAGACGAATTGCGATATATCATCTAAAAACAGTTGGCGATTAAGAGTCTAGTTATTCGTTTCGATGGTCAAAGAAGTAAATTGAGAGGAATTTCAATCAATTAAGCATGCATACTTCATCTCTAATATCAAATTATATTAAATTAGATCATCGGTAGTATCTGTCTCAAATTCTTGAAGTTTAGTATTCTCTGATCAGGTAAAATAGATATAATTATTAGCTAATGTAAGGCAGCAATCAGTTAGTATTTCTGAGACAACAATGACAGGAATTGTTTTTCAAAAAATCAACATTACCTATATGTATCACTGGTAGCTCATTTTTCAATAGTAACATTGTTTACATGTATTGACTGAAATATCCCAACATCTAATGAATTAGTTCCTAATGTTTGACAATACATATTAACGGATATATATATATATATATATATATATATATATATATATATATATATATATATATATATATATATATATATAACAAAAATTAACGGCTGGTTTGATTGAGTCGGTTAGATTCATAGAAGTACATATATGAACATTTGAATCTTCACTCGTATCATAATTTGGTCCAAGTGTGGCATCTGGAATGTCTTTGAAAACTATCAGCTATAAGATTGTTTCTGTTTTAAATGTAAATTACAAATTATTCACAAGGCTTATCCTTTGTATATATTTAGTAGAATAAATTATCTTTAATCCAATAAAAGAAATTTATTTTTAAAACTAGAAGTGATTTAATTGGCTTGAAATCAGCATTTGACGAACTGGTTTTTGGAGTAAACATTTTTTAAAGAGAACAGTTGGAATATTGCACATCTTGGAGTAATATATCTTAATTCTTTATGCTATTTTTTTCTTTTCAAAGGGAAGATACCTTTACATATGAACATATTAAAATAATCTTCTACAGTTATTGTATGTTATTAAATAATTTATAGTTCCACTTTCCATTACTTTGACTAGCTACTGATGTGTCAGTATACCATTAACATTTAATGAGATTTTAGAAAGATATTAGTCCATAAATTTTTCTCTTGAAGATAATTTGTAAGGAAATAAAAATTTACATTGCTCTGCATTAAAGGATGGCATCAAAAAAGTGCCACTGACAAAAATACACCTTTCCCACTTACTTTCTCATTACACAAAATGATCTACAATTGACCAGTCATTTAAATTATTCATCCTCAAATCAATCAACCAATAAAATCGCGCTAT